ACACACCTTTTAAGTTACTATCTTCTCCATAGTTACTTCTCCTAGTAATCTGGAGACACTTAAAACAGTTATAGATGTTGGGAACAGGTAAAGAGTTTACAGAAAAGGAAAATATAATTGAGTTGGAATGTAAAATGGAAACAAACAGAATAAAAATGTTATCATTACATATTTGTCCTAAGAAAGAAATCTTATAAAAAGCAAGACTCATTTCGTAGTTTAACAATAACATCAACTATATATGAAGATAATAATATAGAGATGAATTAATAAATGCATTATTTACCTAACTAAAAGGATTAGTCATAGGTTATCATCACTTTAAAAAGCTAATAGGCTGGAGAGGTAGCTCAGTGGAGTGCTTGCCTAGAATACATGAAACTCTGAGTTTGATCTCAAGCACCAAAAACATGGGGTTGGTGGTACACATCTATAATACCAATACTGGGGAGATAGAAGCACAAAGTCAGAAGTTCAAGATCATGCTACATAGAGTTTGAGGCCTGACTACGATGGATGAAAGAGACCCTGTCTTTAAAAAGTTAATATACTATGAATTATATATTTTAATTGCTATATTCATCAAATAAATGACTATATTTATAAACTACATGTTTCGATATTTATGTGTATACGTGTTAATATACAAATTAACACAGATCTTCACACATGCTAGGCAAGTGCTCTACCATTATACTGCTCTTAGTAGGAACTTCTTCCAGCTCATAAAAGGGTATGTCAAAGAAGCAAAAACTTCCAGATATGTAAATTTTTAGGAAGAAGGCATGTCTTTCCTTATTCAAATAATAAAATCTCATTGAAAGGTAATAAAGACTAAAGCCAGTACCAATAAACTGTTTACAGCACTGACAATTTAAAAACAAGATGGTAGCTTTGGTACAAATGCAGGTGAAAGACTAAGTTTGTAAGGCATAGTGGCTTATAGTTGCAATCCCAGGACTTGGGAGGGTTGTGGCATAAGGATCAGGAATTATAGATCAGCTTTAGCTACATGAGATGCTGTCTCAAAAAAATTATCATAAGGCAGGGCAGTGCTGGCCCACACCTTTAATCTCAGTGCTTGGGAGGCAGAGGCAGGTGGATCTCTGTGAGTTTGAGGCCATCTGGGTCTATAGAGCGAGTTCCAGGATAGGCTCCAAAGCTATACAAATAAACCCTGTCTCAAAAAAAAACAAAAAGAAAAAAAAGTTTGGGGTTGGGGATTTAGCTCAGTGGTAGAGAGCTTGCCTAGCAAGTAAATGGCCCTGGGTAGATGTTAGAAAAGGGCACTGGGTCCCTTGGAACTGGAATTACACACAATTGTGAGCCACCATGTGGGTGCTAGGAATCAAACTCTGGTCCTCTGGGAGAGCAACAAGTGCTCTTAACTGCTGAGCCATCTCTCCAGCCTCTGGCAGAGTGTTCTAAATAACTGCCTAAAGAAGGCTACTTTTCAAATTTGGTGCTAATATTAATTTAAGTAAACCTTTATCTGTAATACTTTATTTTCACTAATAAAATATGGAGAAAATCCTTAGGGTGGATCACAGAAGCACAAAATTAAAAAAATTCCTTTGGAAAACATACTATAAAATAAAAATGACATTGCTTTTACTTGGGTTTCAAACCTAAAAGATCATTCTGAAAAGCTCTCAAGCAATGCCATCCTAATATCTTCTATTTCTAGAAATAAATGAGCATTTAATGAATTTGTATGTCAAACACTGTATTGTTAAAATCACAACACTTTTTCTATCAACTGACACAATTTCTTAGTCTTGCCTACATGAATTTGTCTGGTATAAGTCTAGAAAACAGTCTAGAAACAGAACTTTTGAGTTTCTCAAGGTCATTAAGACTGTCACCTAAAAAAGGACTCCAGGTAAATGGAATGTGTTCATAAAATATTGCACCTCTTGAAGGAACCAAACAGGACACACTCAAACAGGTAAAGTCTGCTTTGACTTCACCCCTGACTCCCTTTGAAAGTGGTCAGTCTACATTTCAAACACAAGCAGGACTGGCATATCTTGTTATCAGATTATAAACACAATGCCTATATTATTAAAGAGTTCATTTTCTCCAAACACCCAAGTTTTCTATTAAATAAATACTGAAGTAATATTGAGTTTGGTTTTACGTCAGGATTAAGAAGTAAAAGTTCAAAATATCTCAGAATTGTAAATTTTGAAAGGCAAAGAAGAAGAAACTAAATTAACTGGAGAGGAATAAAAATATCCTCTATTCTCGCCTTTGAAAAATATTACATTCATTTATTTTTATTTAATGTGGGAGAGAGAGAAGGGAAGGAGGGAGGGAGGGGGGAGAGAGACAGAAAGAGAGAAAAAGAGAGGGAGAGGGGGAGAGGGAGGGGGGGGAGAGAGGGGGGGAGGGAGGGAGGGAGGGAGGGAGAGAGAGAGAGAGAGAGAGAGAGAGAGAGAGAGAGAGAGAGAGAGAGAAGAGCGCACACATAAGCATAGATGTGGAGGTCGCAGGACAACCTGATGGAACTGGTCCTCACCTTTTAGTATGGGTCTTGGGGATCCATCTCAGGTAGTCCGAGGTGGCAGCAAATATTTTCACTCCTGAGCCATCTTGCCAGATCTTCTTGTCTTTTTTACATTTATTTATTTACTTACTTACTTATCTGTATGTACATGAGTAGGTGTGTGCACATGGAAGCCAAGAGGTCAACACTAGGTATTTTCTCTTCACTGAATCTGGTGTTCACTGATGATTCTAGACTAGCTATCCAGCAAGCCCCAGAGATCCTCCAGTCTTTGCTTTCCTAGAGCTGTGACTACAACTGATTGTCACCATGCTGCCTTTGACATGGCTGCTGGGGACTGAACTCGGGCCTCATCCTTTGTTTGTTTTCAAGATAGAATCTCACTATGTAGCTCTGTTTATCCTGGAACTCACTCTGTAGACCACGTTGGCCTCGAACTCACAGAGATCTGCCTGCCTCTGCCTCCCGAGTGCTGGGATTTAAGGCACATGCCACCATGCCCAGCTTCAAATTCTCCTCCTTGCTTGACAAGCACTTTATTGACCGAAATCCTTTAAAAAAAAGTTTTTCTGAGACAGTTTTATGCTGCAAAGGCTGGTCTGAAACCTATTCTGTAGGTTAAGATGACCTTGAACTTCTGATCCCTTTTACATCAATGTCCTGAGTTCTGGGTGAACCACGGCTGGTTTACAAAGTGTTAGGGAATGAATACAGGTTACTGTACATGTTACGCAAACCTATATGAACTGAGTTACATTCTCTGCTTCCATTTCTTTAAATTTTATATTACATATTCACAACATAAAAGAGATCCTTGTCAGATATTAAAAAAAGATTTTATAACTCTATTTTTACTAATTAAATGTACTTTTGAAATCCTTACATTCTCTAAAAGGGTTAACACCAACATTGTATAAATTAAACAAACAAACAAAAAAGATAGAACCACCACTGCAGAGAATAGGGGACTACTACATTAATTTTTATATAAAATTTCTTGACTGTCTAAATCTTCTGGAATTACAATAAATGTAACAATACTAAATTATAACAAGACATTTGAGTTTGTGGCTATACCAAATAACCTTGTTTAGAAGGGTACTTTGAATTTTTAATTCACTAATTCACCTTTGTCTGCTGTCTTTATTTTACCATTTAAATTTAAATAAGAAACTGTAGAGGTTAATGAGATATCTCAGTGTTTAAGAGCACTGGCTGCTTTTCCAGAGGACTTGGGTTTAGTTCACAGCACCTACATGGCAGCTCACAATTGTCTGTAACTCCATTTCCAGGGGATCTGATGCCCTCTGTTCTGGCCTCTGAGGACACCAGGCACACATACCTGGTGCACAGACATACATGCAGGCAAGACACCCACACACATAAAAAAAATAAATAAAAGAAATAGTAAAATGACTAAAGAATTTTTATCACATGAAATGTCCTAATCTGAGTTTTTATTTATAGAATTAGCGTTTATTTTTGGAATTTCAATTTAAAATCCAAACATACTTTCATAAAATAAATCCTATCCAAATAATGTAAATAGATATTTAAAATAGCAAGTTATATTTCAGAGAACTTCTAATATGCTGAGAGCAACTTAAACCTAAACTCAATGATTTCAAGTAGGTCTTTAATTTGGCCACTGAATCCTTTTTACCTTCACTTAAAGTATTAGAAGAGATCTAAAATTGGAAAAGACCTATGTATTTATCATCACCTTAACCCAACAATTTTAACCATGAATACTTAATAGGTTTCCTTGTGTCTGGCCAACATCAAGCATTAACTGTCTCCACATGCAGATACATTGCCAGGGGTCAAGCTACACACACTCAAAGGGTTTTTCAGAATGACAGTGGATTTGGGGTATATACTTTACTATATATGTAGCAAGTATGACTAAGAACAATCCGAACTTTTTAAGTGCAGAAACAGTTGCCTTCATGGATTTAGATTTAGGATGTTCCACTCGGAACTTACAATGCAACGTACTTTGGCACAAAGCCTCAATTTCTCAGCTGATATCCCATATTGATGCTTACTTTCAGTCTGTTTCAAAAAATTCTTAAAAATTTAAATTTTGTGTGTTGGAAATACTAGGGCTTAAGATAATATATGTATTATTGTACCAAGGCTGTCTCCTTGTGATTATTTCTATAAAAGAAGAAATACATGATGACAAAAAAAGTGACTCATTTTATAAAAATATGCTTACAAGAAAGCTTTCAAGCTCACAGCTCTTTTGCTGAGGTAAGGACATTTGTATTTACAACACAGATCTAAAACACCTACCTGTTTTTCTGCATAACAGAACATGTTTCTCTTGGCACAATGTTTTAATCTCATATTTGAACAGAAATTTATAAATAGGTCATTATTAGTGCTTGGCCCGAGGGCATTAGCCATTAGTTTTGTTTAAGGTAAAACATGGGACAGCATACAATATCTGCTAGTCTTTCCCCTTTTCACATGCACACAAACTCACCATCTGAAGCCTTCTTCAATTCAGTTTTCAATTTTTCCTGGTCTTCTACTAGTTTTTTATTTTCAGTTTCCAAAATGTTTTCTTCATCTTTGCCATGGTTTTTTAGTACCTATCATAAAAGAGTTATAGGAAGAAATAAGCTTATATTGCAACAGTTGGATATTTTTTGAATAAATTAAAATTATTGGTTTTTATTAATGTCTTTTTAAGTATTTAATAATTTTTTTATAAAGTGCTTTTGCTAATCTAATAGAAACCTGATATAGCAAGCAAACACACAAAATTGATATTGTGGAGCTAGAGAGACAGCTCAGATGCTAAGAAGACATACTGCTTTTCCAGGCGACCTGAGTTTGGTTCCCAACATCCACGTTGGGCAGCTCACAACCTGCTGTGGAATATTACTTTAACTGTGTAAAGGTGTGTTACATTTGTTTATGCTGCATCTGTTTAATGATGTAAGGATGTGTGTTTAATTATGTAAAGATGTGTTGCATCTATTTCACTTTGCCTGCCTAAAGCTCCTGATTGGTCTAATAAAGAGATGACTGGCCAATAGCTAGGCAGAGAGAGGATAGGTGGGGCTGGCAGGCAGAGAGAATAAGTAGGAGGAGAAATATAGGCTCAAGAGAGAAGAGGAACTAGAGAAGGAGGAGAAGGAGAGAGAGAATGAGGGAGACGCCTAGGGCCAGACAGGCAATGAGAAGCAGTGAAAGTAATATATACAGAAAGAAAAGTAAAAAGCCACGAGGCAAAAAGGTAGCTAAAGAAGAACAGGTTAATTTAAGCTAAAAGAGCTAGCTAGAAATGAGCTTAAACTCGGACAAGCATTCATAACTAATAATAAGACTCCTTGTCATGACTTGGGAGTTGGTTGGTGGCCCTAAAAAAAAAAATCCTGGTACAACAACCCCCGATAAATCTAGCTCCAGGGGAATCCAATGCTTCTGACTTCTGTGGGCAACTACCCTCACATGCATAAAACCACACACACACACACACACACACACACACACACACACACACACACACACACAAACACGTAATTTAAAAATATTTTAAAAAATGATTTGTTATTATTATGGATGACGTTTCTGAAATTAAAGTAAGAATTTCTGATTGGGCTATAATTATAATTATGCTTTCAAAATTAATTCAATGTGACTGCCTTCCTCAGTTAAAGATGTGATATACATTTAATGTAAAAAAAATCAGTTCCAGGTTTGACATTAATTGTACAAGTCATGCTATAATTGCACTGTCTTGTCTACTCAAGACTTCTTTTACACATAGAAGTATGTAAGAGTATAATGTTGCCAGGATGAAGATGGGTAAATGGAAAATGGTAAGGTGATCTCTAAGGTAGGAAAATTCTGGTTTTCATTAAGCAGTATCAAATTAATCTTTAATTTAGTTGATCATTTAAATTGCTCTTTATATTTCAAAATCAACTCTGGATATAAATATGTGTGTAGCTTGTCTTTTCTAGGTAAAACAATAAAGATCTGAACAGTAAATAGCTGACAATAAACATTATAGAATAAAAATTTCCTAATTTGCATGCCTACATAGAAATCATCACTGTTACTAGAAACTAGAAGTAGATTAAAAGAAACATAAAATATTTAAGTTACAAAGAAAGATAAATTATATTTTAAAACTATTTTAAAAATAAAAATGAGCCGGGCGGTGGTGGTGCACACCTTTAATCTCAGCACTTAGGAGGCAGAGCCAGGCGGATCTCTGTGAGTTCGAGGCCAGCCTGGTCTACAGAGTGAGATCCAAGACAGGAACCAAAGCTACACAGAGAAACCCTGTATTGAAAAACAAAAAGTAAATAAATACATACATACATATATACAAAATAAAAGAAAATGAAATAGCTCAGTCAATAAAGTAGTTATCACACTGACTCTGATCCCCAGAATCCACAAAAAGAAACCAGGTAGGCATGGCGAAGCCTGCCTACTACAATCCGAACACTGGGGAGACAGAGACAGGAGAAATCCTGAGGCTTCTTGGCCAATCAGCCTAGCTGACTCCAGGAGCTTACGGGCCAACCAGAGATCTTGTCTCAAAAAACAAAGTGAACAGTACCTGAAGAATGACACCTGAGGTTGACCTCTGACCTCTATGCTCATATGCACACACATGGACATGGACTAGTATCCCTCTCCTCAACACACACAAGATAAATAGAAAATAAATTTATGCATTCATACGCATGGGCCAGTAGACTAAACATAGTGGCAGCAGCTTAATTCTGGTGGCTTCCATGGTTAGGAAAACATGATAATTTAAGAATTTCTACACCAAAGGGATACATTTAACAGACAAAACTCAGAAAATCTAGTGAGTGGATGCAAACATTTTAGCATGAAAGACACTGTAAGAGAACCATGGCCTATACTCTTTCTTTGGTAACTTTCACTTGGTAGAAAGGAAAAGCAGGAGCATAAAGCTGGAATAAGCACAAACATGGCACCACCATGTTGGAGTAGGACAGGAGTAGGCAGCTCCGAGGAGGGATTAAAGCTCCAGTGAACATACTATCTCTTAAATAGCTTTTAAGAGAGCAGAGGCTCGGAGCATACTCTGAAACGGGGAGAGCATCAGACCTTTTAGAATCAAAAAACTTGTCTGAAAAAGCAGGATGAGAACTTCTTTAAGCCTCTTTCAATTTGTTGCTTACTTCAAGTTCAAAACAATTTTAGCCTAGAAAAGAAGAGCTACATTTGTAAAGTCAGAGCAGATTTAAAAACTTAAAAAGCTCACTGTAGAGGATTACTGCACTGGGGTGATTACCAAAATTGGAAAGGAACCACACTGAGCTGCAGGAATGTTTACAGTGACTGCTTGAATTATTTATGCCACCGACTTGGAAAAGCTGGATTTGTGGCAGTCTTGTAAATAAGCTTTCATTACTGCACCTGTAAAACTGCTCCAATTTATTATCCCTAATTTCATGTTGGAGAAAGACCAAGAGCTCTGGAGTCTGCAACTTGACAGCTCCCAGCTACAGGAGGAACACATGTCTTCACTAGCCCACCCACTCTTATCCACCCTGGAAGCTGGTGGGAGTAAAGGTCAGTGAGAAGTAGAGAGCTCCATGCTGCCATTTTAAAGCAGTTCAGTTAAAATTAACTGATAGCAAGGCATGGAAGCACACATCTGAATTACCAGTATTTGGGTGACAAGCTGAGGCAGGAGGATTTTGATTTCTTTTTCTTTTTAAAGTTGTATTTATTTTTATGTATATCTGTGTACCATGTGTGCATGGTGCCCATGGAGGCCAGTAGTGGTCATCAGATCCCCTGGAACTACAGTTACAGATGGCTGTAAGCCACCGTGTAGGTGCTGGGAACTGAATCCAGGGTCCTGTGGAAGATCGAGCAGCAAGTGCTCTTAACCTCTGAGTCATCTCTCTACCCTGAATATTGTGATTTCAAGACCAGCTTTGGCTACTTAAAGAGAATCTGCCTTGAAACACAAACAAAAGTTAACTTCAACTGAATTATCAGAAGAGAAACGGACCTTGGGCACCAAAGAGGCATCATTTTTATAGAACATTATAGTAGTTGAGGGGACAAAATATGTGGTTGTAAATGTGGGTACTACAGAAAGGCTGCATGGCCTCAAACTTCCTGTAACTGTATCATTTATTTTTACAATTACCCATCCTCTCCCTGTTTTCTCAGCTATAAAATGCAGACAATACAAACCTCATGGGATTGTTCAAGAATTAAAAGAGTTAATATCTTACTGTGAAGCACCTGAAGTAATATTTGGCATAGCATTAACTATTATTTAAAGCCACAGAACCTTGAAATTCAGAAACTATGAGGAGAGTTGCCCTAGGTCACACTGCCAGTTACTGTAGTGCTGACATTAGCACCCAGTTGAAAGTCTCTGAATCTCAGGATTGTGTGTTTTCTGCTAGATAATATTCTTCGTATACAGAATAAAGAAATATTTTTAGCAATTTTATCATTCTTTCACTAATATTTCAAAGCCCACATAAAAGCATTTTTTATATTTTTACCTATGGCTTTTATTGATCACTTTATCAGTCTATTAGTTATACTCTGAGTATTGACAGGATTTATCCAGTTCACAAATTTCCTTCTCACTGCATACTAGTTTTGGTATAGCATATCTGATGATCCAGGACCACTGACTGGGTCAGAGCTATATAGCAAGCAGGAAACCAGAAAAAAGGCTGAAATTGAGGGAGGCCCAGGAACCAGCAAGCAAGTAATAAATTTCCTACCATGAGTGAATGGCTTTGAAAATAATTCCAAAAGAAGAGTTCCAAAGTTCTCTTGAGGAAGTGATGCTTTGACGGACAAGACTAAATTAATTCCATTGGTTATGCTGCATATGTGAAGAGTTATGTTATCAAAAACTCTGTAAAAATACTGTCTGCTTATAGTTCAAGATTAAGAGGACAACAATTAAAAGGGTGTGTGTGTGTGCCCCAACAATAGTTATAACTACTCTAAGATGATGTGCACAATTTCAAAGCAATAAAGATAGATGAAAGTCTTCCCACAGATACAAAGCTGGGCTTTTGAATTTAATCAACATATACAAGGTTTGATTTTACCATTGTGAAATGAGATCAAAAGGTAGACAATCAAGCAAACATTAAGTACAAAATGAAATTGATTGTCCTGCTGAAACAAACATCTCCCCTGCAAAAAAGCAGAAAGTACTTACTACTAGCTTTTTAATACAGATCATACCTACATCTTGATTTCTAGAGAATATTACTGTAAGAGGAAGTAAAGAAGACATCAATGGATCAATGCTTTTTCAAAACAGAGCAAAGGCTGGTGAAATGGCTCAGTGGGTAAAAGCATTTGGCTGTGTGAGTCTGGTGACCTGAGTTCAACCCCTGTAACTCACGTGAAGACAGACAGGGAGAACCAATTCCCAAGAGCTGTACTGTGGCATGCATAGCCTCTCCACACATCATGCATACATGATAAAAACTTTTTAAAAACAAGAACAAAACAAAAAAAGTAAACTGTTTGTAACATGCTGTTTCCATAAAAGATGCTAATAACTTATTCATAAACACGCATTTTTAAAATTATGTTTCTACGAAAAGAGGTCTTTCCCTACCTTTTTTTGTTACCATATAAGTGAGGCAAATATCATAAAAAGCAAAACAGAAGTTTTGGGTAGGTGATAATGAGTTTTGCCTAATTTACAAGGTCACAGAACTCTTCCTATTGTCCATATGATAGCTTCCTAGCTTACAACCAATGGAAGGTAGTGCTTGCAGGCAGGTCTTTTTTTTTTTTTTTTTTTTTTAAATAAAGGCTGAGCTTCAAGACGGAGCTCAGAATTTTCTCTTTCTACTGCTGAACATGATATTAACTTGGTATAATGTGAAGACTATATTTGAATCTTTTTGTCGTTGTTGTTATTTTCAAGATGGGAGTTTCTCTATGTAGTTCTGGCTGTCTTGGAACTCACTCTGTTGACCAGGCTAGCCTCAAGCTCACAGAGATCCGCCTGCCTCTGTTTCCCTGAGTGCTGGGAATAAAGGTGTGTACCACCATACCCAGCTTTGAGAAATAATCTTAATGTATGATTCTAAAAATACTTTCCTCAAGAAAATGTGTTTCATTTATTAAAAGTCCCAGTGAATCTTTTTTCTAAGAATTAGATTCAGTAAAACTCAAGGAATTTGTATGAACTGAAACACTGAATCTATGAGATCATCAGATTTTAAAAATCAAATTAATTTTGTGTTTCATTTTTCTATTTTTTTGTCAATAGGGCAAACCTCAATATTTGACAGACATATGTATTCCCTGGATATCAGAAGATATAAGCAGCATAAGATTTGTAAAAAGACTTTAAAAATTATGAGAAATTATCAATGTTGTCTCAATAATCTCTCACTACTTCATATACAACAAATCATATTTTAACTGAAAGAGAAATGTACACAGAGAACTATAAAGATTTAATTCAAGTTATGAAGTAAAATTAATGGTAATAGAGGACTTAAAATTTGTATTCCAAGAATGGCCATATTCTGGGTATGACACAGCCACTGTAATCTTAAACTCACAGCAGCTGTAGTCACTTTCATTGGGCCCTTGTCAACAGATAGTCATGGATAGTCATGGGGCCCTACCATCCCTGCTGAACTACTGACTACTGAGAGATTCTGGAAGAGAGGGAGTCATTAGCTGTGTATGCACTGGGGAGCCCACCCAGCTACAATGGATAGTGCTAAAGCCATGGTCACACAAGGCTTTAGTTAAACCCAGGGCACTACAAAGCAAAACAAAAGATAGGAACATGGAAAGGGGACTTGTGTGTGTGTGTGTGGGGGGGGGTTGTAGGGGAGAGGAGAAAGGGATAAGAGGGGACAGGGGATCAGAGTAAATAGAATGCACTACATACATGCATGAATTTGTTAAAGAAAAAATTTAATTACCAAAAAAACTATTAAAAAATGTGTGTTCCAATAATGTTTCCTCCTGGAATCACAGAAATGGAACCACTGGTATCAGTATATATTGAGGGAATGTGTGGGAGCAAGCAACCCTAAAGAATAGTAATCAGCTGGGCAGCGGTGGTGCACGCCTTTAATCCCAGCGCTTAGGGGACAGAGACAGGCAGATCTCCCAGTTCAAGGCCAGTCTCATCTACAAAGTGTTTCTCAGAAATTCTAACTAAGTAAGTAAATAAATAAATAAATAAATGCAATCACAGAACAATGCTATGGTTTGTGCCACTTTCTGCTGATAAATTATGAAAATGCTACTTTTGATGCTAAAAAATAGTACATTACTTCTTGTGAACATCAACAGCATTTAAACAATTTTCTATAAGAAAATTAAATACCAATTTTAGTTTTTCATTCTCTTCCATGAATTTCTTGGCAGCCTTATTAGTATTTTCCGCTTGAGTTTTAAGCACTCCTTTGTTTGATATTTCTTTTGCCAGCTGAGTAATAAGCGTGACCAGACGTCTCAACACTCTGAGGAAAAAAACAGATGAAGTTCAGAATAATGCATAACTAGATTACTCATCGGGAACTCTGACTTTAACACAAATAGCCATTGTCAAATGACTCCTGCTATGTCTAGAGAAACGGTGGTGGAGAGGATGTTTAAACAGAACATTTCCTCTTTACCATCCAAGCCTGGCAGTTCAAACACTCTTTCGCATCCTCTGCTGGACGACAAGCATCGCAACACACAGATGTGGCAGCACCTGAGGGCCTCACACACACAGTGGTATTCGTTTTTCCTCTACAGGCCTTTAGCCTAAAGGAGTAAGATGGAATTTTAGATGGTACTGTAAGACTAGCAGAAAAAAATCAATCTCTCCCCGCTCTCTTTTGGTCTAGTTTGAAATTTACAGTTTAAAGATCATTTTGTAAGGGTGGCTAAGTCTAAAAAATGAACATTGTCATGTTTATAGGTAACCCCCATTGCTAGATATTATAATTAATCTCTTCAGTTATCTTTTTCAGCAGCTATTTACTAAGGCACTGGGGCCACAGCTGAAAATGAACTTAGTCCTTACCTTTAAGTTTAAGTTCTAACTGGAGATATTTTATATAATTTTTTTTTCGAGACAGGGTTTCTCTATATAACAGCTCTAGCTGTCCTGGACCTTGCTCTATAGACCAGGCTGGCCAGGAACTCCAAGAAATCTGCCTGCCTCTGCCACCTGAATGCTGGGATTAAAGGTGTAGCACTACCCTGGGCCTCTAGTTGGAGATATAAACAATATTTAATTATAATTGTGAAAGGCACCAGAAGATGAAGTCTAGACACGGTCTAAGAACTTTAACAGACCAATCTACTTTGGAGGAAATGCCGGTGACAGGGCTTCTTGGAGAAAGCGGCTAAAGGATAAGTAAAAGTTAAAGAAAGAAGAGAAGGCCGTGTATGGTCAGGTTAGCCTTTAATTCCGGCACTTGATAGGCAGAGGTGGGCAGATCTGTGAGTTCAAGGTCAGTCTGCTTTCCATAGCAAGCTCCAGGCCAGTCACGGTTACACAGTGAGACTCTGTCTCAAAAAGAAACGAACAGGGCTTCAGCTTCCCAAGCCCCACCCCCTGCTGTGTGGAGGATCTTTATCTCTGTGTGCCTGCTATATTTATGTGTTTCCTCACCTCCTAATAAAAGCAGTTCTTCAGCCACCAGAAAAACAAACAAAAAAAGATGCAGGGAGGGAAGAGTAGTCTAGGAGAACAGCTTGTATGATGACTCAAAGTAGGAAGGACACAGATACCTGATAAACTCGGTAACTTTTTTAAAAGAACGAATAGTGAAGAAGAGTGGGAATGGAATGTACTCTGTGTATTGCAGAACAGTATGAGAAGGTTCCAGAAAGTCGGCAACCAAATCATTCAAGGCCCTTTGCAACCAGCAGATCTATGAGTTGTAACTTTTGTCCCTTTTTATTTATAACATTTCCCCTTTCCCTTTCCTCTCTCCAAATCCTTCCATATACCTCTACTTATTCTTCTTCAAATTGATGGTTTCTCTTTTTTTCTTTTTTCTAATTGTTATTGTGTGTATATACATATATATTCCTAAATATAACCTGTTCAGTCCGTATAATGCTACCTGTATGTATGTTTTCAGGGCTGAACGTTTGGCACTGGATAACCAATTGTTGTGCTCTTCCCTGGGGAAGGCCATGTCTTCTATTCCCAGCTTTCTTCAGTGCAACAATTATTTGTTATTTGAGTATATCATCTGTATTCTTTTATGAAGATGTCAACAAAAAACTAAGGTGTAAGTGGGGAAAAAAAAGCAGAAAGAGAATTCTATGAGTGTTAAAGCTGTGCTTGTACAGATTTTTACTTACAGCCAAAAAAATAAAGAGAATCCAGAAATGTAAAGATTTCTTTGGGACCTAAAGAGCTTCATCTGTGTGTGCTCATAGGCACCAGGCCTGCCGCCTGAGTTCTTCTCAGTGGCTTGAGTGGAGGAGTACTTCCTTACTTCTCTCACAGCATCTGTTACAGGAGAGAGAACATTACTTTTGATTTTCAAGTAAAAATATTTTAAACAACAAGTAGTTGTAGAATAACTTACCAACCTTTATAATAATGGATTTTAGATACGGCTTTCTTTCTGTATGTCCCTTTTTAGTACCTGAGAGGGTACTGTGCACAAAGATGGATAGTAGTGGTAATTTATGGATCACTACTACAGTATTTTAAAATCATTCCTCTACGGCTTACTTATTATCTCACTGCCAAATCTTGATCTAATGTGAAATGTGAAACGTTAATGTGAAACTAAAATTCAACCTGCTGTCAGCAACAGATATAATCCCAGCATCCTGTTATATTCACTATTACTTTAAATAAATAATTGAGACCAGAACTATTTCATTGCATTGAAATTTCTACTTGTATAGATTGGTTAAATAGGATGCAGACTAAGTTGCATTTACTTCACAATAGTTCATAGCCATGATCTCTAAAGAGTGCCACATTTCTATCACTCCAAAATAAAAACCCAACAAAGCATTCCACAATAAATTAAAAAAAAACCAAGAGGCTCATTTGCTCATTTTATTACCTTACATTTGTATGGCATTTCTTTTACTGAAAAACTTTATTTCTAATTAAGTTCCATTAAGCATACTTGCTCATTTGCTCTGTGTGGCATCATACACAAAGTATTTTTTAAATTGCTAACACAAAAGTATTTTTTAAATTGCTCGTGAATGAAGTTTCAGATTTCATTACAATCTTTTGTGTTCATAAAATATATTTGCTGCTTGAAATTATTCTTTTCTCTGCAACATGTTATCTAATATACTATTTAGTTCATTTATTCTGGTTTGTTTTCAATTCTAGAGTATGTTGAAAATGGAGTAGGACCAACAATAAGGGAAAAATGTGATAGAGCCTAATTTTCTATAAATCATATGTATGAAGAGTCTTTTGGAGGATAAGTTTTACATTTTTCTAATTTCTGGAATGTACTTTTGTTGAAAGACATATGTTCTTGGTTTTGCTACTTTGATGTCTGTTATTTATTACCCTAACCTACACACATATGATAAATATTCAAGTTTTGGCTGCAGAAATATAAATACTACATAATAGCTACATGACAACAAGAAAAAGGAAACAAGTTCCAAAGTAAGAAATGAATTAAGATGGAGTAATCTACTGGGTTATGTACTATTTACATCACTTTAGTGAAGTAGGTGATAGCCCATTTGAGATGAAGACACCAACATGTTGGGATAAGTCTTATCTGTCTGCCTTAACTAGACCCAATATTATAGGAATGTGCTACAAATTCATTAAAACTCGATACAATTCCCTTCTTGATTTGATGTTGTTTTGAGACAGGGTCTCATGTGGTGCTGGGTGTCCTGGAACTCAGAGATCTATCTATCTATCAGCCTCAACTTCTAGCTCCTCAGTGCTGGGATTAAAGGTGTGTACCATCATGCCTGGCTTCCTTTCTTGTTTTTAACAATTTTATACCCCTTCACAATAGATGTTCTCAATTTTATAAAGAAGATCAACTTTATTTCAAAGGTTGGTGTCTGGAACATAAAACATTTTTGCATAAAATGTCAAACACAGTGGTAAAGATTCCAAGTTGCTGCCAATGAACCCACTTAATCCATAAGGAGAGGTGTGAGGCGGTTCCTAAGGAAAATGTATTTTGCAATGTATATTAAAAGCTAAAGTGGCAAAGAGTGACTCTTCCAAATATAATCATGAAACTCATTACATTTTATACATAGTTTATAGATGTGAACCTGGAGTTAATTTCAGATAATGTCTTTTACTTTTCTTGGGTTTGGCCTGTAATCTATCACACAGAGTGAGGGGTGGAATTTTCCACCTATGCTAGCCTGCTGGTGCTAAAATGTTTCGGATTCTTTGAATTCAAATTTTTAGATTTAGAGTTTTTGGCTAGGGATGTCCAATCTGTCCAGTACACATCTTTAATCCCACCATATGGATTTACACTGTGAAATTTGTCACATTTGCTCTATGTTTTTCAATCTACAGTCTCCTTGATGCTTTCCCCTAAATATTTCAGTATGCATCTTCTCAGATTAAGGACATATTCCTACATAAAAACTGTTAATAACTTTTTTTTTTTTTAACAAAGGGATAGATGTTTTAGACAAAGGGAAAGGCAATGGATGTTTTTAGGGCTTATCAGCTGCAATACTATACTCTGGAGATGTCTGCGGAAGGAGGCAGAGACCATATGCAGAAGCAAGAATGGTGATGCTTCAGTAAAACCATCCTTACAACAGGCCTCTGAGCCACAGACTTTAAGATGCACTGCCATCAGGAGAGCGAAATCCCAACATTACCTAATAACCACTTAGTATTAAGAAAAATTTGCAGCAGCCTCCAAAGCTGTTTTTCAGTCAGGATTCAGTGAAGACTCATACTTTCCTAAGGATCCTGGAATCCCGTCCCTTTGTTGCATACAGGCCAAGTCCCTGGGTGCCCAGGACAGTCCCTACAACAAAGACTGCAACTGGCAACTACCTGGCAGCTGGAAAGAAGGCCGCTCATTCCATTTAAACTTTAGAGTAACTAAACTAAAAGAGGTTAAGAATCCCTGCACCTGGAATTTGTGCATATAAAATAGTACCAAATATGTATCAAAATAGCCAAAATTACCTTAATGTCAATATATAAAATGATTTGTCTTTCAATATATCAATATCATCAACTTAAACAATCAAAACCCAAACAATTTACTGAACTGGATTCAAAGGAGGGATCTATACTTACCTAAAAACAGAACGATTAATAGGATTATAATAGTAAGGAAAGCTTTGTTCCAAAAACTTGCAATTTTACCCCAGACACTAAATGAAAAAATCCTCTGCCATCTGTAAAGCAATACAATTAGATTAGTTAAACAAACAAACAAAAAATAACAACAGAAACAAACAAACCAACTGCAGGTTTTGAACTGTTTCGTAAATACTGAAATAATATTTTGCTAGTGTGGCAAAAATTAGAGAAATTTAATGGTAAAAGTTATTAATCCTCTGACATGACATGAAATAGACATAATTATTTTTAATTAAAGACATTTGATTATCTTTTGTCTGATGGTTTGTATATTCTAAAATGAAAACAACCTTTTTTTTTTTTTTTTTTTGAGACACAATTTCTCTGTGTAACATTCTTGGCTGTCCTGGAACTTGCTTTGTAGACCAGGCTGGCCTCGAACTCACTGAGATCCACCTGCCTCTGTCTCCCAAGTGCTGGTATTAAAGGTGTGCTCCACCACCACCTGGAAAAAATAACTTTTAAAGTAAACATACATGAGCAAAACCTCAAAAAGAAATGTGGGCATGGGTTTGTGTGCACGAGTCATGCCTGTAGAGTAGGTCAATCTGATATGTTCCTAGCTTCCTTTAGATAGTCTCTCCCTGGGATTCCCTGGTTAGGAGAGGCTGGTTACAGAATCTGCCTACTTTTGCCTCTGGCACTGGGCTTATAAACCTACACAAACATCCCTGGCTTTCGCACAGGCTCCAGGATCAGGCTGAGATGCTCACGCTTTTATGCCAAGCACTTTACCAACTGAACTATTTCAATAGCCCAAAAAGAAATTCTTAAACTAAAATGTCATATTTTTAATGGAAGCTATTTCTTTTTCCCTAGTTAGAGCAATGTCTTAGAAATGGTGTCTTTGGCCGGGCAGTGGTGGCGCACACCTTTAATCCCAGCACTTGGGAGGCAGCGCCAGGCGGACCTCTGTGAGTTCGAGGCCAGCCTGGGCTACAGAGTGAGTTCCAGGAAAGGCGCAAAGCTACACAGAGAAACCCTGTCTCGAAAAACAAACAACAACAACAACAACAACAACAACAACAACAAAAAACCCCAAAAAACAAAAAAAAGAAATGGTGTCTTTGATCTAACCATTAGCAACATCTAATTCTCTACTTATTTGAGACAGTCTCACTATGTAGCCCATGGTGGCATGGAAATTGCCACCCACTGCTTCAGCCTGCAAAGTGCGGCAATTACAAGCAATTACTACTGTATTTGGCTTCTGCAGGTCTATTTTTATATGGTATGCGTTTATCATCTACTCTCAGTAAAACAATTTCTTTAACCAAAAGGGAATGCAAAAAAACTGAGATATGACATATATGTAAAGTGAGGGAAAAATCCCTTAAGTATATATACTGGTAAACTTTTACACATGTAAATTAGTTTATATATATAATATTATATTTTATATAACTGGCTCTCAAACTTTTCTTTTTCTTTATTTCACCTCCCCCAGCCCCCCACATGTGTTTCGGTGTATCTCAGGGTGGATGTGTGGAGGTCAGAAGACAACTTTGTAGAGTCGGTTCCCTTTCCACCATGTGGTTTCCGGATATCGAACTGAAATTCTCTTACTTGGCTGCAAGCGCCCTTTGCCCACTGAACCACCCTGCAGGCATTCTCCAAACTTTCTAACCCTACGAAAAGCGTCACTCGCAGTAGCCTGAAGAAGCCAATCAATTAGGTACTGCTAAAGATTTGAAGGTTTCCTACCTCTGAGGAGGAATAAAGGGCAGACAGAAGATTAAAATGAGTCCTATTTCAGCATAGAGAAAGCTGGCAACCGCCGCCCATTGGATTGTCATGGTTTTTTCTTCACACCTAAACAGAGAGAGAGCTCACTTTCACACAAGCCCGGGTGAACGGCCCCACGAGGCGCGGGGCCTGCTGGGAGTTCGCCCAGCCCCGCGTGACGCGGCCGCGCAGGGGCGTTCCCGGCGGTCCCCGGCCCCAGCGCCCGGGCAGCCTGACGCCGCGGCCCAGCCGACGGCCGCGCTCCACCGGGAGGCCCCCGCCCCGTCCGGCTTACCGGCCGCCGATCGCCCGCGCGCGCACGTCACACGCCGCCCGCAGCGCGCCCGGCCCGGCTGAGGTCACACTGACGCGACCGCGTTTCCTGGTACGCGGCGTGCAGGACGCGAGGTGACGCAGGCTTCTCCACGAGGCCACTGGCGGCGAGTGGTGGGAGCCAGGGCCGGGGCTGGGTTCAAATCCAGCCAGCCGCTCCAAGGTGGAAACCTGCCTCCCTGCCCCTAATTAAACTAAATTTAAGAGAAGGCCCAGGCCTGGGGGTTTGTGGAGCATTTTTTTCTCGAGACGGCAGAATCTGTATCGTCCGGACGCGTTTTGCGTCCTGTTTTCCTGCTCTTGTCCATTGGTGGGACCAGGCAACTTAAAAGAGCTGCTTGGGGATTGCTAGGAAGATGGGCGTGGGTGTTACCTAACCATATTCTGTTAGCTAGCTAAACAGGCCCTGGAAAACAATGAGGGTGGACTCCCTCATGGTTAACACTGCATTCTAACTCCTGTTTCCCTGGTGACATAAGAAAGGAAAAGCTAACAACTGCCCCCCTCCCCCCAGACCACCTGGCCAAAATTGAATACCCCTCCTCTAGGGCATCCTGATCTGCTCCAGAGATGATAACATTACATACTATTATCTTCTCCCTTAAGCTGGCCAAGAGTCCACTTCCAGAAATCTGATTTATTTGGAGACGTGTTAAAGAGGTGGGAGAGAAAATTATCCCTTTAATAAAATACTGTACTTACTGTACTTCCCATGATGAGCTCCTTTAGAGCTTCCTTCTGTCATGTAGCAGTGCTAAGCTTGCTTGCTTTTCTGTGTTTTTATTAAGAAAAATACAACACCTGCCTTTTGTTTGTTTTGTTTTTCTTTAGTCGATAGCCAAAAACCGAAGCATGCTTTCCCTGCTGTTGCCCCCTCCTGCAACTGCTGGTGGGCCTCCACTTTTGAACAAGGCAGTTAACTACTGGATCCTAACTCAAAAGGCATAACTTTGTTTCTTCCTCTTCTCTGTCTCGTTGCCTACCCTGTTAGTTTTTTATTTCAAACTAATACAATTGTCCTTGAAAAAAAGCTTTGTCATTCTCTTATTAACAAGTCTAAGAATTTAAAAGGGAACTCTGAACATTTCCATGTTTTCAAAATATGTGAATACACTTAAAATACATATTTTTTAAATACTTGTAACATCTCAGGAATGTAATACAAAGTGGGGCAGGATACAAAAAAAAAAAAAAAAAAAAAAATTAAGATGACCTAGGAAGGCAAAGGAGCCTCTTTGGAGTCTGGTAGAAAGAAGTCTCATACCACTGACAAGAATTCCAGCAAAGTTAACAAAATTTGCTGTGAGTAACAAAATTACTTTAATTAGAAAAATTTAAATGATTATGAAATGGCAGTGAACCACACTTAAAGCCTGACTATATCTGACCACGTATGGTCTTTTCCCTTTTCTAGCTGTAAACCTGCAATTTTCTGGAAGTCTTAGAAAGAATTCTTCCAACTTTGTAGTGAAAGACCTCACCTACACTCCTGTAAAACCTTTGTTTTCCTTGTACCTTATCATCCAATGGACTTTAGAACCACTCTGAGCTCATTTACCAAAAATAGCAATTTCAGAAAGTGTCAAAATCATCTATAAGGTTGTTAAGACAATTACTGTCACTTTATTTGAGCAGCCCATGCCTACAATTGGGTTTGCACTGTCCTTTTGCTAAGTGTCTATTATAAATGTCTGTGCTTAAATGTGTTAAAATTTTAAAAACTTTTTTTGCATATATCAGAGGTGGATGTCAAATGTCTTCCTCTATACTTGCCCACTTTTTCGTTTTTCTTTTTTTTGGAGAGGGTTTCTTACTGAATGCAGCCTTAACTGATTATCTAGACTGGCTGGCCATGGAGACCCCAAGATCCTCCTGACTCAACTTCCCTGGCATTGGGACTCCAAGGGCATACTACCACATTGGCTTGTACATGGGTGCTGGGGATCTGAACTCTGGTCCTAAGGATTGCACCTCTAATGTTTAAACAACAACAACAAACCCCAAACAAAGCAAAACCAGAATCTCTTCTTGATAAACTCTAGCTTTGGCTAGAGATGTGGTTCAGTTGGTAGAGTGTTCACCCTGGCTTTGATCTCCAGCACCTCCATCTCTTTATGTGTGGCATATACCTATAATCCTATCACTCAGGAAGTGAAAACAGAAGGATAAAAGTTCAAGGCCATACACAGCTCTATAGTCTGAAGCCTGCCTGTGACTACATGAGACCCCAACTGAAAAAATAACTAACTCTAATTCTGCTTCCTACTAAGTCCCTGAGATTTTTTTTGGGGGGAGGGGGCACAGCCAAGAATCCTGGTTTCAGCCAGGTCAAGGTCCCTGAAAATAATTCCCACAGAATATAAATATGGTGTGTGTATTCATATGCCTTGTGTATGCCAGAGGTCAACTGTGGGTGCTAATATTTAGGGGCTGTCCAGCTTCTGTTTTGAGAGGAAGTCTCTCATTGGCTGCAGATTACGCTAGGCTGGCTAGACAGTGAGCTCCAAAGATCTGTCAGCCTCCCCAGCACCGGGATCACAAGTGTATGCCAAGGCAACTGGATGTTTTTTTAAAAAAAGATTTATGTTTACATGTGAGTGCTTATATGTATGTATGCATACCACATGCATGCCTGGTCCCCAAAAGAAGAGGGTGTCAGATCCTCTAGAACTGAAGTTACAGATGGCCGTAAGCCATGTGGGTGCTGAGAACTGAACCTAAGTCCTCTGTAAGAGCAAGTGCTCTTAACTACTGAGTCATCTCTCCAGCCCCGACACCTGCATTTTTATACGGATGCTGGAGATCACATTAGGACCTCATCAACTTCTTGATTGTGCTATAAGCTCTTTACCAACACAGCTATCTCCTGAGCCCTTCTTGCCCTCTGTTGATATCAACCAATGGTTGGATGGGTTGAACTAATAAGCGGCAGCTGTGGCGACAGTACAGTTGCAGAAGGGGTGCCTGGGAGCCACTGGTGGCTTTGACATCCTCAGGAAACACAGGCTGCAAGGCCAGCAACAGAAGCACAGCAGCAAAAGTAGTTGCTGTCCCAGTGATGGCAGTCACAGCAACAAGAAGTGGCCGACCAGATGGCACAGGGACTAGGGTCAGTACAAGAACAGTGGAAACAGATAAGAGACGGTAAAGAGTCTCTGCGGCTGGACAGAACCCTGTAAGATTCTGAAACTGCAGGCTCTGTCTGCTGGTAGAGTTCCAGAGAGTTGTCAAGTGGCCATTAGTCAAGGCTAGGAAAATCCTAACATCCTAGGCTTGAGAATCATGGTACTCAAAAGCTGTAAAGAGAACCCATGCTTCCCAGACTTACACTAACCAGAGTTCTAACACTGGATTAAATTCAGTCACATACAACTTAAATACTTTGAGATATATATTCAATTAGAAATATGCTAGTTGATTTTCCAATTTAAAATTTTAATGTACAGTCTGAATATAATTCTACCCAGGATTCCTTGTTTTTTCATTTTATGTAGACATCTGTTCTACTTCTTGAACTTTCAAAAAATTAAAAACATACTTGTTAACTTACAGAAGAGTCATAACTTCTTGATATTAAAGAAGTTTTATTTAAAAATGTTAAAAAGAGTATCTTTAGTAAAAATTACACACACACACACACACACACACACACACACACACACACACACCACACTTCATAAAGATTCAGAGCAAAGTTTTTCAGTATTTGATTTGGGACTGTGGGATGTCTGAACCTCTTGGATTCTTTAAAACTAAACTTCTGGGTCCATTCAAAATTTACTCAAGTGGAATGCATGAGGAAGGGTATAGGAACTGATTTTTTCTTTTTTTAATTTTAGTGTAAAAAGTTATGCATTTTGGCTGAATGTTGTCTGTGTACCATATGCTTGGCTGGTGCCTGAGGAGGCCTGAAGAAGGTGTTGGATCCCCTGGTACTGAAGTTGAAAGCCTTAAACACAGACTTAAAAGAAATACCAGGATGTGACGTCATATGGTTCCATGTAGATATAACGTATATACTACAATGGTTTAGAAAGTGGAGTCAAACACCATAATTGTCTGTAAGGTAATCCAGGACTGCTGATGTGCTTGACAGAGCGTTAAATACTCTTTTTTCCTGCCTTGATGTTATCTTTTCCATCATGTACATTAAATGTTGATGGAAACACATAAAAGGAGTTCCAAGTTCAAGAGCGATGTCAACCCAGTCCCAGATACATTTCAGCGGGGTTTCTTCATATCCAGCAAACATAGCTGGGTTTGACAAAAGTCCCCTTGCAACCATCACACCTGCAAATTAAAGCACAACATATCTGTCCATAAACTAAGAATCCATGGTTATCAATCAGTTCAAACAATGCAAGAGCATTGATCAAAAAGTATTATTTTGAGGTTTCAGAATACCCTTACTACAAACTAATGAAATTCAACAAGAAATAAGTTGATTCTGGTGCCACTGATAAACCAATTGTATTTATACAACTAATTGTAAAAAGACATCTATATTAATTGACTGTTTCTTTAGGAGATATCCATGTTGTCATAAATTGGGCTGCTTAAAGTTGAATCTCTTTGCTTTCATCTAGCAACAGTTACCATAGGACTGTTTGTTAATTATGTGAGGGGTAATGAAACTACATGGCAGTTCTGAGGCTTTTGTGGCCAACCATGTTCATTAATTCTCATCTCTAGTCTGATATTCTAGATGCTTTTTAAAGATAAAATGAAACAAAACAAAAAATAAATAAATAGGCCATCTGTAGGTGACTTTACTGGTCACTAGATATGATGGTGGCAGCAAAATGCTGTCACTGCCTTATCTAAAATGATCTACTGTTTCTAAGGAAAAGAGCTGACAGCATTATAATAAAATACTAAGCTTAAATTAGTACAATAGGAAAATATGGCTCAGTTTGAAACACAAAATCAAATTAACATCACTCCCCCATCCTCACTTTTCCATCCTTATTAAATGATAAAAAAAACTCACTATTTATTTCTTACCATCTGTCCCAGTCATCTGCCACACATTTTCTGCTTCTTTCAAGTTTCTTATGTCTCCGTTAGCAACTACAGGTATAGACACACTTTCCTTTATCATTTTAATGGCATCATAGTGGACTGGTTGGTGTCTTTCTTCAATGGTTCTTCCATGAACTGTAATCCAGGACACTCCTGTTGCTTCAGCCTTCTGGCAAAGATCTACAGTTCTTGTAAGGTCATCATGGATCCTGTAATTTCACAATTGCAGCTGTTCAGGGCACACAGATTTTAATGCTAAAATAACTAAGATACTTCATTTGCTACATTACTTAACTTCACCATATTGTATTATCACTTCACGCCACTATTAATAAGGTTTTGTTGAGAGATGGTTCCCATTGAAGACCTTTGCTTTAGTTATTTGACTATAGAAACAAAATGGTGACAAATGTCTTTCCCTTCCCCACTGCTTTTCCTTACTAGCTCTGAGAAATTGAGAGCCATCAGCACACTGCCACAGAGGAACACAAAGAGGTTATCCTAATACATGATGTGCATGCCTCTCAAATTGAAATCTCAGTTTCTTTTAATTTTTAAATTTTAGTGCAAATATCTTTCCTATTTTCTAGCTGTTGCCAGGGATATTTCTTAGCATTAGCTAAATAGCATCTGGAGAAAGTTGAGGGGTCGGTGAGGTCTTTTAATTAAGAATATATTACTTTTTGTTAAGAAACAAGATTTCAGGATTATAATAAGGATTATAATTTAAGAACGGGGTTTATGAGCAGGGCGGTGGTGGCACATGCCTTTAATCCCAGCACTCAGGAGGCAGAGCCAGGTGGATCTCTGTGAGTTCGAGGCCAGCCTGGTCTACAGAGTGAGTTCCAGGAAAGGCGCAAAGCTACACAGAGAAACCCTGTCTTGAAAAACAAAAACAAACAAACAAACAAAAAAGAATGGGGTTTATATTTGCTTGCTAGACAAACATCTTTCAATATTTCCACATATCAGCTTCTAATTTATTTAGGATAGACACTATCACATCACTGGACAAAAGGAATATTTTTAAAATTTCCAAGTAATATATTAACTTGTCAGTAAATTGAAATATTGTGTTTACCTTATTTTAATTGAAACTGAAAATCTAGGATTTCCCACTTGATTTTTTACTTGTTTCACCATATCTTGAATGAGCTCTGGCTTGTTTATTAAGCAAGCTCCATAACCTTCTGCCACTGCCCACCTTGATAAAGCAAGCACAACAGATAGACTGTAAACAACTAGAAGGGAAGATAAAACTCTAAATGTACTGTATCAATCTTTCCTCTATCCAACGATCTGATCTGGAATGAAGCACACGTTTACAGTTCATGGATTTACAGTAGGCCAGTTAGCTTAGTTGGCTAGACTGTGGTCCTAAATAAAATTCATAGATCAACATTTCTAAATGGTTTCATGAGATCAGGAAAACACTTGCCTAGACCAGAAAGTACTAGGAAATGGTTTCTCACTAGCTAAGTGAGAGTATTAAATTAGAATTCATTCAACCAAAACAGATTAGATGTTCATATTAACTGCAATTACTTCAAATTTTTAAAATTCCAAATTTGATGTTTATTGTGCATAACAAGAGGTTTTTATCAGTCTCAAGAGTAGAAAAATATTTTTGGCTCACATCATTCCAAAACTAATAAATAGCGTTTCTAATTCTCCTAATGAGTATACAAATGTCTAATCTGATTTGGCTTGTGCTACATTTAAAACTGTGACTTATTCTTTGGGCACATTCTGGCTACTAGCAGATAACCTAGTACATTGCCAGGACAGTAGTTTATTAAGTACATACCATTCAAACTCACTTACTTAAGCCCAATCAAGTAGCTGTGATACAGAAAGGAAAAGGTTACTACAGTATGTAATTAATTAGGAGAAAGTCAACGGTATATTTACATCACACAATCAGCTTTCAGAGAGTATACCTGACATGGCATTAAAAACACATTTCTGGGATTGCTAACATTATATTCTCAAAAAATTAGCTATGGATGAGGTTGAAGGCAGAGTCACACAGAGTGTGCTTGTTCGTTTTATCAGCTTGACACAAACTAGTCATCTGGGAACAGGGAACCCGCCATTGAGGAATTGTCTCCATCAGACTGATCTGTGGACATCTCTGTGAGACATTTTCTTGTTGAATGATTGATGTGCAAATCCTACTGTGGGCTGTGTTACCCCTGGGTTGTACAAGAAAATGTTGAATGTGATGGTTTGAATGAGAATGGCCCCCCAAAAGCTCACATATTTTAATGCTTGGTCCCCAATCAGCAGAACTGTTTGGGAAGGATTAGGAGGTGTGGCCTTTTTGAAGGAGACCTCCATGTCATTGGAGGTGGGCTTTGAGGTTTCAAAAGCCTACCATATTTCCAGTTACCTATTTCTGCCTTACGCTGCTGGATCAGATGAAAAATTTTAACTACTGCTCTAGCACCACACCTTTCTGCCTGCTGCCATGCTCCCTGCCATGGTGGCCATTACTCACCTGCTGAAATTGTAAGGCCCCAACAAACTCTTATATGTTGCCTTGGTCATGGTGTTTTGTCACAAAAACAGAAAAGTAACTAAGACAGGTGAAAGGCCTGATCATGCTGTTCTTTGGAGGAATGTGGAAGACTTTGGGACTTTGGACTAGGAAAAGTGGTAGCATGCCATAAGAGAAGCTTAACAGACCATCCTAGTAGTAGCTTGGAATACAATGAGAACAAGTGGATTATAGAGTCCAAGAGGTTTCAAAGGGCTCTATTAGCAACTGGGCTACAGACCATTCTGATATTTAGGTAAAGAATGTGGCTGCTTTTCACCTTTGTCCTAGAATCTGACTGAGGCTAAACTAGAGTCTTTGATTAATGTTGTTGGCAGAGGAGATTTCAAGACAGCCAATACTGACACTCTTGCTTTAGTCATTAGTAATTTAATCACTAGTAATAATTCTTATGCAGTTCTACAGAGAAAAAGAACAAGCAGGGCAAGAAAAAGTACAAAATTCACACTTTGAGGAGAAAAAGAGTGCCTGGAAATTTAATGTTGGAGCCAAGGCCTGCTGAAAAAGATGAGGAGGGCAGAGGTAATAGATGGAATAAAGGGAGTAGCGTCCTTAGTGGGAGATTCCACCCAGCTAATTCTGTAACTTGTGAAAGGAAAAGGCCTAAGAAAATTTCTGTACCCAAAAAACAACTGAAGCTCAACAATTATGCAAATGTACTTCAAGAAGAGGGGCAGATTCCATCCCAAGGTGGCCACTGGACTAGGCAGCTTTAGCCATGCAGCTTTGGCTTCAGCATCATGAAAAATACCAGAGAAAAGGTGTCGTGGAAACTCGCTCTGTAGTTAAGGAGAGCCTCTGAGGCCAGATGTGTGGCAGAGGAGTCCCCACATGGAGGCCCTGAAAAGCCATTCTATGGAGTTGTAAAAATGAAGTCTGGATTGGGATGGAGATGCCAGAGCCATAGGATGTCTGCCAGGGAGAGGTGCAGACATGGAGTGGAACCAGCAAAAAGGAGAGAAGAGCACTGTAGTCAGCAAATCTGAAGGGGGAGCCATCTAAGTCCTTTGATATTGGACATGGAGCTACAGAATTTGGAGTTTGCCCTGCTGGGTTTCGGTCTGCTTTGGTCCAGTATTTCCTCACTATGCTCCCTTTCCTCCCTTTTGAAATGCTAATGTATATTCTGAGCCAATGTATGTCGGAAGCATGTAGTCTGCTTTGGAACTTTATAGGAGGTTACAATTAAGAGATTGCCTTGTGTCTCAGAAGAAAATTTTAACTTTACAACAGTTTTGAGACTGTGAAAGACTACAAGGTGTAGTAGAATATTACTTTGAAGGTGTGTTACTTTTGCTTATGTTGCATTTATTTAGCTCCGTGAAGCTGTGTTACTGTGCCTGTGTAAAACACCTGATGGTTTAATAAAGAACTGGCCAATAGCAAGGCAGGAGAAAAGATAGGCAGGGCTGGCAGGCAGAGAGTATATATAGGAGAAAACTAGGAGGAGAGATCTAAGATCTAGCAGCCAGAGGAGGAAGAGGACTCCAGGGGCCAGCCACCCAGCTACACAGCAAGCCACGGAGTAAGAGTAAGATTTATGGAAGAGACCAGGAAAAGTCGAGAGACAAAAGGTAGCCGGGATAAGTTAAGGAAAGCTGGAAAGAAACTAAGCCAAGCTAAAGCTAGGCATTCGTAAGTAATAATAAGCCTCCATGTGTGAATTTATTTGGGAGCTGGGTGGCGGGCCCCCCAAAAAGAGTAAAAAACAACCACTAACAACAGAGTTTTGAAGTTTGACTAAATGTATTTTTTGCATTATGATATGGATACAAGCCTATGGAGAGCAGGCAGTGGAATGTGGTGGTTTGTATGAGAATGGTCCCCATTGGGTCATATATTTGAATGCTTGGTTCTCCAGTTGGTGGAAATATTTAGGAAGGACTAGGAGGTGTAGCTTTGTTTAAGGAGGTGTGTCAAAAACTAGTTAAAGGTCTATAAATCATTTCAGCCATTGTAAAAGACCTTTGAAGTTATGTTTCTAAATAACTTTTTCTTTTTCAAAATTCTTGTTTAGAACCATAGTCCTTTAATTCTATAGCCTTCCTCTTAAAATTTCATTATTTAATTAATTATTATTATTATTAGTGTGTGTGTGTGTAGGGGGGATAGTGTGCATGTGGGGTAGGAGGACAACTCTATGGAGTCAGTTCTCTCCTTCCATTGTATGGGCTCCAGGGAAGGAACTTAGGTTGTCCTACTTAACTTTTGGAAAACTAGAAAGATATTTTACCATGTTCCCATAGTTTTTTTTTTCTAATTTCTTTGAAAATTCTTCTAATTTCTTTGACCTTTACCTCTGAGGACAACCACAGTTAATATCTATTCCATTTGCATAGGGGCAGACTATTTGAGCAGCATCAGATAAAAGTCTTGCATCATTAGCAGCAAATTGAACAATCAATGGCCAATCACCTGTTTAAAAAAAAGGAAGTCCAACATTAAACTTCTTAGAAGAAACATTCACACAGCCAAAAATCAAATGAAACAGTGCAAAACTTATAAAATGAAAACTATTCCAAAATGATAGTATATACGTACCTGTTCCATGGAAGTGAATGTGAACATTCTATATACACTGCTATGCCTTCTGCTCTTCTTATGTATCTGGGAAAAGCACTCAGATGTATTTTCTTCTATTTAGTGGCATATTCTCCTATATGGATGGTCTATATACTGTTCTCTAAACTGCATTCATGCTTTTATAAATCTATTCCTAGATAAGTACCTAGAAGTTTAACTGTTGAATAAACATTTAACACTGCCTAGGTATTTAATATAGATACTATTAAATTATTTTCTAAGAGTTTATAGATGCACATGCATATTAATATAAAAGGTCTTTATTTTCATTCAACTCATCCATGCTGAACACACAATCTTTTTGTATTTTTATTTGTATTTTTTACATTTTTCTATTTTTGTTACTTGCTTCTTTTATTATTTATGTATTCATTTGAGACAGGGTCTCATTCTGTTCTCCTGGCTGGCCTGGTCACTATGTAGACCAGGGTAGCTTCCAACCCGAGTTTGAGATCTCCCTGGCTCTGTGTTCCAAGTGCTGAGATTAAAGGCATTTTCTACCATACCTAGCTGTGTTTGTGATTTGATGATTTTTTTTTGAAAAAGAAATTAGACTTGTTGTCTTTCGCATGTGCCATATATATATTATATATATAATATATATATATATAATATATATATTAAAGTACATTTCTATATTTACATGGAGAAGTTTAAAATTTAGGTTAGTCAAATGTATCAGCTTTCCTAGGTCTTAAAATATTTTTCACATCTTTGGATGGTGTTACAATTCTGAAAAGATGTATTTTAACATTTCAAAGGCTTTTATGAGGATTTCCTATGAAATTCATGGGATGTTTGTTATAAAAGGCACATTTCAGGATATTACCTCCTTTACATTGATTACAGATTTCTAGAGCAATTCACTGGTCTTGGAGTTGATGAGAAAGAATATTCTTTTTTTTTTTGGTTTTTCGAGACAGGGTTTCTCTGTGTAGCTTTGTGCCTTTCCTGGAACTCACTTGGTAGCCCAGGCTGGCCTCGAACTCACAGAGATCCGCCTGGCTCTGCCTCCCGAGTGCTGGGATTAAAGGCGTGCGCCACCACCGCCCGGCGAGAAAGAATATTCTTTTATTATTCATTGGCATGTAGGGTGCATTCCCCAGTTGGGACCTTAGTTACAAAATTCAACTTTAACAACCATGTATTGCTCTCATATATTTTCAACACCGTTAGCAGTTGAACATAAAAATCAAGCTATTTCTATAGCTCATGTCTTCTAGGAACCTATAATTTAGTGGGAGAGAGGGGCATGCAAGAAGAAAACAAAACAGTAGGATTTAGTACAATAAAAGAGCCCGTGCTTATGAGCAAGGATATGGATGCACAGTGATCAAGGAAGGTTCCTTGTTTACAAGCTCTAAATGATGGATTAGGAACCTTTTTTGATATTCAGGCTTGCCCCTTGGGGACCCGCCCAGCATCCTGACATCATCAACCTCCTTTAAGAGGAAAAATCCCCTCCCCCTTCTTCCTTTCTCTCTCTCTAGCCATGAGGTAGAGCATACCACTGCTTTCCCTTTTTCCCACTCTTTCTCTCTCCCCTCCCCCTTTAATAAGAAAATTTTCCATGTAGATGCCATGTCTGCATAGTGTGAGTAACCTTCCACTACACCAGTGCCCACCCCCCTGCGTCTCTGAATGGAGTATCTCCCTCACTCCTCTCACCCTGCCAAAGGCCTCTCATGTACAGAATTGGTGCTGTGAAAACTAGGTAGGTTCTTCTGGCAGTTCCTCAATTTGAGGAACGCTGGGACCCTGGACTGGACTGTCTACTGGCACCACTCTCCCTTTCCAGCTCACCGATTGCTCAACACCAGTGACAACCTCATAAGTTTCAACTTTGTGGATGCTGCCCACAATCCGAAAGGTCCTTTAGGCCCTTCTGGCTTTTGGGACATGATTCCTGACCTTTTCTTATGGATGAAATCCCTCTCAGGACTCAGTTTTTGTTCTTGCCTCCTGGCCTCTTTGAAAAGCCCAATACTAGGTGCTGTGTCTCCTCTGGCTTAGTCAGGCTAAGCCTCACCCCCACTGAGTGTGGTGACAGCCCTCTTTAATGGTTTGGTCCTCCTTAATCCTCCCTTTAGTCCTGGGTGTTCCCAGGACTACAGCCTGCAGGACTCCTTTCCCCCATCTCATCCATGGGAACCATGCTATATTTTTCGGGATATCTATGGCTAAGGTGAGAGATCAGGGCCTGCCCATCCCAAGCCCCCACTCTGATATGGTCTTTCACTCTTGTTTTCCTCCTCCTTCAATCCTCTTCCACTAACTCTGCTGTGTGTGGCATGTTTGCTTGGTGGCATACCTTGGCAGGGCCCGCCAAAGGTAACCACTTACTTGCCTCCACCCACTGCAGATCTGCTCCCTCCCACCTGTAACAAGTCTGCTTTCCTGTTCACTGGTGGCTTTGCCCTCCATTCAATACCACCACTCTGGCAGAGCTACTCACCTCTGACTATCCCCCTGGATGGGAGACTGGCCTCAATATTTTGTGGGCCAGACAGTGGGGGAACTGAGAAAAAATTCTGCACCTTCTTTCTTCTCCCTTTCTTCATATTTACTCAACTCCTGTTTAATATATCTATGTGTATATACATATGAATTGGATTTACTTATTAAAAAAAAAAACAAGCTTTGGGCAGCAACCACATGGCTCTCCTCCATCTTGACTGGTGACCTCATCATGATGTAGATGGCCACATGGCTGGCAGCAATCTTTTACTAAAGTTTACTAAGGTTAAAAAACACATTTAGCCCTGATGACCTCTCTGTTCATTTTATCTCCTTCTACAGTAAGGAAGCAACAAGCCTCAAATACTTGGGACTGGTATGGAGTTTTTGTATGATGATGCAAAGCGATTCAACACTTAGTACACCCTATATGATAATAGAAATTTAAATTTATAAAGATCTATTCAGATTAACAAAAGCTAACTTAGAGATTTACACCTACATCCTTGTCAAATGTTCAATACCAAGCTTCTAGAGAATTTAAATAAATAATGTCATATGTGTGATAAATGGGGTATCTGATAAACAAGACATATATTCTATGATGGAGTTTCTGGTTCCCCAAGAGGGTTCTTTTCTCAGAGGGTCCTTTTCTCAGAGATGGGTCACATCCAAACTCACAAGGCCCATTTCTCCTGTTCCCATGTGGCCCTGGGATCTTTCCCCCATCACTCTTCCTTGCCTTCTCAGGAGACAGTAAGTCCTAGTCTTATCGAAACTCCTAACATATTGGAGACTGCTAGGGAACGTAAGCTGATAGTCAGCCATTCATATCTAATGGATAGACAGACCTCAAATGCTCAGAGATCTGCAGAATATGGCATTTAAAATGTTTAATTAAAAAGCTTTTCATGATAGAGAGACATGCTTGCTCCTGGCAGCACCTTTATTTCCTCCAAAGAAGATGGCTGGCACGGAAGAGCCTCCACCCAGAACTTGCTTCAGAATGGCAGCACCAGCCACTGAGATGGGCACCTCAACTGCTGCCAGGGCCTTCTTCAGACCATGGACAACAGGACTCTGGGAATCCACTTCCTCACTTTTGCCTAGACAAGGTAGGCTGGTCCTTCCCACAAGTTCCTACCCCACAACTGTCTGATCTTCTGAGACCTGGCAGCCAAAGACTGATGTTGTTGCCTTGACACCTCTGCCCTCAACAGAGGACCCTGGGGTGGCTGTCTAGGTAGCCACCAGGTAAGTCTCTGCCACTTTCAATCCCTAACTCAGGTAAAATTTGTCCTTCTCAGATCTCTGATGTCATTTGACAACCAGGCTTTGTCAGTTCAACAGCAGCAACCCAGGCTCCAGCTGCCTTTTCAATTCACAGACTTCGTGGTACAAGATAAACCAGTTTCAGATATAACTTGAGAGGTTCAAAATTTTAACTGATAAATGCAGTTTTGATAAACTGATAGAACACTGACTACAGACAGTCTTGGGAGTCCTTAAATTTCTGTGGACTTTACTGGTCCCAGCTTTTAGAGGCAGGTTAGCATTAGAAAGGGTATGGAAGCCTCCCTCCTCCTCCTTCACGCACTCAAGCACTCCGATTCAGTACATTTCCTCTGGTTATACATTTAAAGATATGTTTCATTGGGTTGAAACCAGGACCTAGAAAATGTTCATACCTTTTAACCCAAAGCCATAGCTTTTGCTATGACACCAAGATATAGGTCTGTTCCAGTTGTTTCACAGACACAGGTTCCTGCACAGACCCACCCCTCCTGCCTCATGCCAAGGCCAGACCCTCAAAGGCCCTCCAGATACACCACCAGCTGCTGCACCAACCGAGGACACCAACCGGATGAACACTGGCAGGTTGGCTTCACCCACACGCCCACTCATAAAAACTCTGTTATCTCCTAATTCGTTGACACTTTTACAGGATGGATGGGAGCATTTCCCACGCCACAGAAACAGCAGATGCGATGGCTCCTGTACTGATTTGGCGTGACATCCCCCAAGGCTCCGGGAACATCACTGCTGCAACCTGCCTTCTTAGCTCCCTCAAGGGGTGTCCAGGATGACAGCTAACTGAATGCTTCTTTACTTACACTTCCTGCTGTGCATGACTCCCAACTTCCCCCTCCCCACTTTGCCCCCAAATCAGCAAGAAGCAGCCTCAAGAATTTGGTGCCATCATTCCTGCTCCCCACTTGCTATCCACAACTCACCTTTTTATAAAAATCAAAAGCAGATAAATGTTAGCATTCAGGCCCGCCCCTTAGGAACCTGCCCGGTGTCCTCACGCCATCTGACATAAATCCCCCATTAAGAAGAAAAAACTCCTCCCCTCTTCTTCTCTTTTCATAAGGTAGTGCACACCTCTGCTTTCCCTATTCCCTTTTTCTCTTTCTCCCTCTCCCTCTTTCCGTCTCTCTCCTTCCCTCTATTCCCCCTCCCCTCTCCCTTTAATAATAAAACTTTCCACATGGATGCCATGTCTACATGGTGTGTGTAACTTTCTACCATCCCATGCCACTGCCTGCTACCCCTACATGGCATGTCTCCCTTACCTGCCAACCCACCAACCCGCCAAGGCCTCTCTCAAGCTGTTTTACAAAAACTATGAACTGTAGTTAGCCAGGTGTGGGTGTGTGTGCTCACGAGAGAGAGAGAGAGAGAGAGAGAGAGAGAGAGAGAGAGAGAGAGAGAGACAGAGACAGAGAGATAGAGAGAGACAGAGACAGAGACAGAGACTGCATGACCGGGAAAGACATTCTAGGTAAGGAAGTTCAAGAACAAGGCCTGTTCAAACTCTAGGAATTTATGGAAAGAGAGGCTATAGATGTATTCAGTGGCTGGATCATGAAGGACTTTGCTTATTGGCCTCAGATGTTGGATTCTAGCCCTTAGACCGGCAATTCTTGACGGTTAGCAAGATGAGAGTACTTGTATGGCTTTTCAAAACACAAAGAGTTTCTAATTCAGAAGGCTTAAAGTGGAGCCTGGAAACATTCATTTCCAACAAGTTTCCATTGATGAAGTCACCACTTGCCTGGGAATCATATTGAAGCCATTATTTTTGGCAATGGGAGTTATAAGAAGGACTGAGAGCAGGGAAGGGACATGATCAAATTTGTAGTTTAGACAAGTCATTTTGGGCTATTAGAGGATAGTCTGAATGAGAAAAGACCACAGACAACAAGACAGGGAATTATTCTAATAAATGAGGAAAGAAAGGCTTGGTCTCAAGAGCTGCTGACTTTACATTTTAATAGGTTATTGACAGTGTAAAAATACTAAAGGCACTTAAAACACATTCCCCTCTCCCCCGTAAAGTCAGAAAACTACAAGTTTTACATACCTTGGTTTGTGGTAAATTCACTATCTCTGGCTTTTACAGATCTGACAAAATCAGCAGCAACTATCATTGGTGTATAACACAGATCACAAGAGTATTTTCTTACTAGTGTTCTAAAAGCCAACCTGTGAAACATATAAAACTTTAATCATGAATTTAGAAAATCCTTGATGTACATGTAATTGCAAGTTCAATTTAGTTAATAAATATTTATTAGAGTAACTTTTTCTTGCATTAAAGAGATGTACTTTCACCTAGTCTACCTGCTAAGTATGACAAAAATCCCCAGTACTTGTGTTTTTGAGACTGAGTCTCACTACATAGCTCAGGCCAGCCTGGAACTCACAGAGATCTTGACTTTGCCTCTGGGGAATAAGGGTGTGCACCAGGCTAAAATTTCAAAACTATTTATAAAACAATAATAGACAAATCATAAAAGAGAGAGAGGAAGGGAAGCCAGGCTAGCAGCCTTGCAAGTCCTGTGAATTTTCTTTTTGCTTTAAATACACAAGACTTGGGGCTGAAGTAGCTAGCCACCTGGAATCAGCAGTGATTGAAGACAAAAAGGGCCCAATGTAAGTCTTTTACCATATAAAGTATCAGGAAAAGAGACTCTTTGAAAGACTGAAAACTTACAAAGTAACAACACAATACAAAAACAATAGGGACTTATCTCTATTAGGAAATATTGGGTGGGGAGCCTAGATTTTCACTCCTAAGATACCCCAATATCTCATGGTGATAGTGTTCAATCAGGCCTGGTAGGTACATGAAACCTTCATTCCTATTGGCTACCAAGACTACCCTTTCCACTGCTATCAGTGAGATCACATATAGAGCATACATTCCATGTATATGGTACTGCATAGTAACAAGGCACCCGTTCCTCTCTTGCTGGATGTTGTGAAAGGAGGCCTTGGGGAGAGCCATTCCTGCAGTACTACCTAGTAGCTTATGAGGCAGAACTCTCACTTCTGTCAATATTACCAAGGGACTCCTTATCTCCCAAATGTACACAGAAGGCAAGCTGAGAATCAAGACATAATGTTCATAGTAATGAGGTGATGTCTCTCCTTTCTCTCTGATGAAGCAGCATCAGGACAGCTGACTGTATCAGAAGTATAATCCATTATATACTAAAGAACATACTGAAGAATGTAAAAATGCTGACTGTATCAACTGATACAGAAATAACATTAGACAAAATAATCCCTATACAATATTAAAAAGTCTCAAAAACAGAATTGTAAGCCGCTTCCTTCATTTGATGAAGACCATTCATAAGATATCATATGAACATCTTCTCCAAGACAGGAGCAAGGAAAGGATGTCTGTTTGCACCCCTTGCTAACACAGTGGGCACTTCTAGCCAGCGCAGAAAAACACGAAAAAGGATCTTTTAAAAACTTTTAATTAAGTGATAGATATAAAATTAAAAGTATAATACTAGGGGCTAGTGGGACAGCTCCATGGGTAGAAGTGCTTGCTACAGAAGCCGGACAACTCAGATCCAATCCCCAGCTGACATGAGTTGGACCTCTGACCTCATGAGAGAATGAGAAGTGGCACATATGCCACCCCATGATCCCATCCTCCTCCTCCTCCTCCTCCTCCTCCTCCTCTTCCTCCTTCTTTTCCTTGTTTTTTGAGATTGGGTTTCTCTGTTGTTCCGGAACTCACTCTGTAGACCAGGCTGGCCTTGAACTCACAGAGATCTGCCTGCCACTGCCTCACTAAGTGCGGGGATTAAAGGCACGTGCCACCACTGCCAGGCTCCCCCTCCTCTTTTATACACACTCTACAACAATTTTTTTATGCTTTACATTCAAAACACTATTTACACAAATATAAATAATAAGCTGGGCTTCAAAAATACCATTAAGATGAAAAGATGAGCTGGGCAGTAGTGGCGCATGCCTTTAATTCCAGCACTTGGGAGGAAGAGGCAGGCAGATCTTTGTGAGTTCGATCGAGGCCAGTCTAGTCTACAGAGCTAATTCTAGGACAGCCAAGGACATACAAACAAACCGTGTGAGTTGAAAAACAAAAAAACTAAACCAAAACAGAATAAAAGATGTAAAGACAAACTACATACTGGGAGGAAACGTTTGCAAACCACACAGGAGTAGCTTCTGGGATAATGTAAAGACAACAGTCCATAGCAGAAAATGAAACACCTCAAAACCTATTCAGAATGGGCTGAGCATTTGAATATTTCTATAATGAAAATAAGAAAAATAGTCAAGAAGCAAAAATATGTTCAACACCACTAGTTATTAGGGGATGCAAACCCAACCACAAGGGGTTTTATTTTACACCCAGTGGAATAGATATAATGATTAAAAAACAGAATAAAATGACAAGTATTGTCAAAGGTGGGAGTAACTGGAACCTTTGTATGTTGCTGGGGAGTAGGCAAAGGTGCTTCATTGATGGAAAACAGTGTATTTCCTCTGAAAAGACAACACAGAATTAACATGTAACCCATTTGACTCTATAGCCCCAAAGAGCTGAAATGGTAGGAGATATTTAAACACCCATATTCATAGCAGCATTATCTGAAATTGCCCAAAGGTGGAAACAATCCAAATGTCTGTCTACCAACTGATGAAAAGAGAAACAAATGTAGTATGTACACCAAACAGACTACCAAGGAAGGAAAGGCGGGCATATGGTATTATATGAACGAATCTTGAAATAAGTATTCTTAAAATGCTAAGTGAACTAAACTTCTCAAAAAGACAAGTCTCAGCTACATGAGGCATCTAGAATAGGCAAAGTCATAGAGAAAGGAAGCAAAATAATGGTTACTAGAAGTTGGGGGGTATTAGGAATGAAGAATTATTGCTTAAAAGGTCCAGAGATTTAAAAGTCAGGCACTCAACATTTAACTGTACATAATCCTGTACAGTTAAGAATCACTACAAGGGAAATTTCATCTTTATTTATTGGTTTTTGTCTTTTTTTTATTTTTTATTTTCTTTGAGATAAGGTCTCAGTATGTAGCCCAGGCTGGCCCTGAAACTCAACAGTTCTCCCGTCTTAGCTCATTGTGCATATTATGTGTATTTTACAACCATAAGAAACCTGTGAAATACCCTCAATAGTTAAACAGCAATAATTTGAGTATGGGCAAAGATATGAAGAAACATTTCTTAAAAAATATGTGGATGGCACACAGACAGATAATGATATTTGACATCTCTAGTAACACAGGAAATAAAAAATTAAAACCATAATGACACAACTCTACTGATCTATAAAATGGTAAAAATAAAAAGTGTCATTATTAAAAGTTGCTGAGGATGAGAAACTAGACTAATATGGTAAGCAAGTATTTGGTCAAAGTGTAAAAGTGTAATCTCCATTCTAAAAAAGTGTAGTAGTTAGAAAAAAACGAAACAAACAAACTCACTCATGAAATCACCTCAAGCCTGGCAATTCTACTAACTGTGCTTTGGTCCCAAGATGCACGTTCACATAAAGATCTGCGGATGTGATATTTATATCCATTTAATATCTACAGCATCCCATACACACACACACACACACACACACACACACACACACACACACACACACACACACACGTATGTTTTTCGAGACAGAGTTTCTCCGTGTAGTTTTGGTGCCTGTCCTGGATCTCACTCTGTAGACCAGGCTGGCCTCGAACTCACAGAGATCTACCTGGCTCTGCCTCATGAGTGCTGGGATTAAAGGCATATGCCACCACCGTCCGGCTGCATTCCTAATACATTATCATTTTTACAGATATTAGGCTGAGGACGGTACAGTGCTTGCTTAGCATTCATGAGGCCCTGGGTTTGTCTCCATCATTATTTAAGCTAGTCACAGTGGCATACACCTGTAATCCCAGTATTTGAGATATGAAGGCAGAAGGATCAGGCCTTCAGCCACTAGCAAGTTTTAGGTGGCCAGAGATACATGAGACCCTGGAAAAAAAAGCTTGGAGAAATTATCTACTTTGGGTCAGAAACATACCAGTTGAGTGTTATCACCAGGACTCAATTCTAAATCATGATTCCAAAGCTAGGAGTTTGAAGGCCTTTGCAGTTGAGTGACTATTACTTGGGGGAAAAAAAATTCAAAAAAATTATTACATGTAAGGAAAATTGGCTCATTAATGATTTATCAATACTTACTTTGAATATCGAACCATTGGGGCACAGATTTTTACCAGCTGTCCAGAATGAAACATTTCTATTGGGTCTTTTTTCTTTCTTGACATATTGTGATTGGTATGGAGTCACTTCTCATGTATACAAATTAGTTTGAAATCTGAAAAAGATAGTTTGCAAAGAAAAAAAAATCTGAAAAAGACAGTAGTATTTCACTACATGAAATCCCATCATTGGGCTAGTCGCATAGCTCTGTTGTATGGTTGGGTGTTTGTTTAGCATGTGGCAGACTCAGGGTTTAATTCTCAGTATTAGAAAAACAAGAAACTATTATTCTAGCAATTTCATTCACCAATATTTTTCCTGGGGCTTGCAGAGTCAGAGAATCTTGCCAAATTCTGCCTCTACTTATAGGATCAATAAATGCAGACACTGAGCATGGTAATTTTAGAGAAATAAAATATGGAAGACCTCTAGATTTTCCCTCCAATGTATATCATGTTATGATTTTGCTTATTACTTTTTTGCTTGCTGTTTGAGACAGGGTTTTGCTATGTAGCCAGGTTAGCTTTGAACTGCTAATTCTCTTGCCACAGCCTCTGGGGTATTGCAATTACACTGGTGTGCCTCCATGTTCAACCTCATGTTACTTTTCATTTTATCCATTTTATTTTCTTGATAAACCAAGGAATTTGACTTGAATTACTTCCCATACAATACTGTGTATACACACAACCTGCAATATTTCATTCAGGAAAGTTAGGTGGCATTAACAGAACATCTGTATTGTAAAATAAATCCTGGTATTTTGGGGCTAGAGAGATGGCTCAGGGGTTAAGCACACATAGTGTTCTTACAGAGGACCTGAGTTCAGTTCCTAGCACCCAGGTTGGGAGGATCACAGCCACTCGTATTTCCAACTTCTGGGATCCAACACCTCTGGCCTCTGAGGGCACTTGTACTCACATGCATATACCCACCCACAGATACACACACATACACACACACACACACACACACACACACACACACACACACACAATTAAAAAAAAAAAGAAATCTTGATACTTTTATTTCTAATTTTTGGTGAATCAGAAGGCAGACAAAACTTTATTATTTTAAAAATTTAAACGTTATTACCAGTGAAGTTTTGTTATAATCAAATAAATAACTTTCAAACCCAAAGTACAAGTGATAAAATTGTTTATATTCCATGTTGGTACTTAAAACTCTGATTTCATAGTGCTTGTTGCTTTTTATATTTTTGCCTCTGTAATCTATTGCTAGATAAAAGCTATCCCTATAAAATGTTAATTATTCAAAATTCAGTCTTTAACCTTTGGCAGTAAGCTAAAGAAAACACGGCCAATAGTTAAGGATGTTTTAGCTTGCAAGAAATCTTGGGAAGCATCAACATTCAAGTAACAGAGGAAAGGGAGTGTAAATAAGCTTCATCAGAGATGGCCTGTAGTGCTAAGGGAAATAAACTCTAAGAGAAGTTCATGACAAAGGAGGAAACAGTTTTAAACATTACAGAAATGATAAACACCATGAGATGTTGAGTGGCAATGATGTCATTACTGACTTTCTCAATCATGGTTTTGCTTTTGCTCATTCATGTGGTCAGGCTAAATGGCAAAAAAAACCCCAAAAACCAAAAACCAAAAAAACAACTCTCTCAACCTAGTTCACAAAACATCAGTAGTTTTGATAAAATATATATCACAAAAGACAAGTAATTAAGGCAATATAAAATATTCAACAGTCAGGGGAAACACAGCATTTAAAACTTTATTTTGATCCTTTATCAGTCACTCTTAGAGAAATCAATTAAACGGCTCTCTGGGCTTTTGAAATGAATGTATTAATATTTTCTTTAACGTTCTCCAAAGCTTGCAGCCATGCTTCAAAGTACCAGAATAATTCTGCTTAAACTGGATAGCACCAGGCACAATATTTTGCTTAATATGCTTCTACACCTGGAGTTTCTTTTAGTTGTGTTTGTAAATTCATGCTAGTATGTACAGTGGAGGTTTAAAACTTAATTGCATATTAAAATGCACTGACTAAAATCCTTTAGTGTAAAAAATAAAAAAAATACTGCAATTCAGGTAATGCTGTTCGTCGTTTATGATTATAAACAAACTAGTTTTGTATAATATGAATACTGAAATCTAATGTGAATCTGGGCATGCTGCCTCTGGCAAACGGAGCAATCCTATTTGTATCACAACTGAGGTCAAACACATAGGGAAAATCTGAGACGCTGCTAAAGGAATGCAAAATGCAGTGTAGTTCGAGACCCGCTCACCTAAGTAACGAATATTTAAACGTTTGGACGTCTAAGGTGCTTAGGGCAGCGTTTAGCAACTATTCTTTCTTCCCCAGCATATCCCGCCTGCTACCCGGGCTTGGCATAGGTAAGGGTGGGCAGCCTCTAGCTCCCACGTGCTGAGCGAAGGGGGCCGTGAAGCACCCAGGAGCCTGCCTTCTTCCCTACGCCGGGGGCCGCGTTCTCAGGCCAATACTTGCGTTGGAGGTAGGCGCGGGGGCCACGTCTCAAGCGGAATGGGAGAAGGCCAGTGCGGCAGGCTTTTCTTCCTCGCGTGCCGGGACTGCAGCTCCGGGTACCCCAAAACTCGCCCCCGGGATGGCCAGGCGGGCGGCGCCTTGATTCTGCGTCATTAGAGGGAGGGGCTATTGCAGACGTCATCAATCCGGCACTTGCCAACATGGAAGGTGGAGATACTGCTGTTTCCGTGGCAGGCCGTGGGGCTCCGGGTTCCGCAGCTGTGGTCGTGACCGTGCGGGAGCTCCTTCAGGACGGTAAGGTGTAGGGCGCGGGCCGGGCCCGGGTCGTTGTGCTCTGCGCGGAGGCTGAGGGCTCCAGCGGTCGCTTTGCACAAAGTTTTCCAGTCTGGACGTGGCCACTCCCCTCCGCCCGGCCCCCTGGCGTCAGGGATTGTCCTGGTCCACTCGTTTCCCCGGGGGTGTGCTTCTTTCTTCCGGTGGGTGTCTAGGGGGCACCTGGTTTCTAATTGCTCGCGCTTGAACTCGGTTCTGACGCGCCCAGGGCTTCTTTTTAAGTTCCAGGACCCTGTACGCCATGGTCTGGGCTGACAGTCCCTGCCCAGTTCTTGACCTAAGAGTGTAGTATCTTCATCCAGAAGTGTAAACTCACCCTAGGTGACAAACCGACGCTTAAGGAAAGGGGTGGGGAGCTTGCAAAAGGGAAAACACCTGCGTTATATTCTTGGGCTGTGCAGGCGCCTCTTACAGTGTATTATCCATGTGTGTCAAAGTTAGATTTATTGGTGGTTTGGAGAGGAATTGTCCCAAGTAAGTTAGCTATATAACTTCATATGACTACTATTGTAGTCTTGAAGAATCCAGTTGTATTAATACTCAGTCTGAAAGGCGGAACAAAATTCAGATTGCAAAAGGTATTAAGCCCCTCCCACCCCCTCCTCCCCCATTCTTTCATGTATTAAAAGCATTTTCACTAATCACTTAAATTGATTCCGAGGTGTCGGGACACCCCACCACTTTTTTTTTGGTGGGGGGGATTGGGTCTCTCTACCTAGCCCTGCTGTTCTGGAACTGCCTTCCTAGTGCAAGGGGTCAAAGGCGTAGGCTACCACAAAAACCGGCAAAAGACAAGCAAACAAACAAACAAAAAACACCTCTTTATAATCCACAGAGCTGTGCATACAATAGGTTCGGAATTTTTTTTTATTAACTTGAAAACCACTCTAAGTGTGGCTTATAAAGGATCAAACTAATAAAGTTTTAAATTACTGTGTTTTCTCTGACTGTTGAATATTTTATATTGCCTTAATTATTTGTCTTTTTGTGGTGTGTATTTTGTCAAAACCAGTGATGTTTTCTGAACTAGGTTGGGGTGGATCCTTTAGAGTTTCTGCCTTTTTCGCCTTATCTTTGTGTCTTAATTGTAATTCAAATTTAACCAGATTTCAAACTCCTGAAATATATATAAAGTTTCCACTCTCAAATACCTTACCATGTAGAGCTATAAAGAAAGGTAGCTCCTGTAATAGTGTTGGAAGAGTATAGTACGATTGTGTGTACACAGCCAAACAGCAATACAGAGGATGATAGCAAGGGCTTAGAGTTTGGTTAGGGAGTGTCAATAATGCTTGTCCGGGTGTTGTTAGTTCTGAAGTGGAACTAAGACTGCCCACTTTATGTCCCTTGATGTCATATTCTAAACAATGAATATATGCTTCATAGGATACATTCCAAGAATTGTAACTAGATTTTGGATAGTAAATTGTTAATGTACACCCTATATTTTCCTACTTACAAAAATTCTCTTTGTCATCCTCCACAGTGATTATTTAAATCTACGTTTACTCTTTAAAAATCTCTTCTTTTAAACCCCTGGAATTTGTTAGATGTGAACTTTATTTTTTAATTGCTGTCCAGCCCTTGAGCTTATCCTAAACTTAAAATCATGCTTGCTTGCTTTTTTTTTTTCCTTTTTCAGTTTCAAATACAACAACGTAATGGCTCTACTTTCTCTTATGGACAGCCCCTCCTTTTGTGCTCTGGAGTTTATCCTTGTCTAGAACCCAAACACTCACACTCTTTAACCTTAAAGTCATGTTGCTAAGGTCCTGGTGGTTCTTGGGAGAGAAATCAGAACTTTTGGTTCTTATCCCATTTAAGTTTGTAAAGGGCTTGACTCCTGTCTTCAAATAACTCTCCTAATATGGTGTAGGGCTGTTCTTTTTTCCCTAAATTTGTAGGTGCTCTTCTCCAGTTTTCCTAGATGTACCTGAAAAATTGAGCGTTTTGCTCAGTAACTGATTCATTGTGTTCACTGTGTTGAAGATTTGCCTGAGGATAGGATAGATAAACTTGGTGAACACACAGACGCATAGTTGGAAAATTTGTGAGCAGTTTATTTGCCTCTAGTAAGAAGAAGATCATAAAAGAGAAAAATTATGTGATTTATTCCAGAATAGGAATCATCAAATGATCCAATAGCCATGTTCATCTTTTATTGTTCCTCTTTGGGAGATCATAGTTACAGTTGACCACTTCCCTTCAATTGTTATTTCTTTTGATTTAGTCATTCTTTCTGTCCCTCACACTCCAAGCAGTCTTCAGTATTTT